ATACAGGCCTTTGGGAATGTCCAGTTCCTCCATTAAAGTTCTGACCAAATCCAGAAAAATACAACACTTCCAGGCTTCTGCTCAGCCCTGTTGTGGCAGCCATGGGCCAAGGGAGAAGGGATGCCTGCATCTCACCTCCTGCATCTCACCTCCTGTATCCCTACCTCCCCCATCCATGTGTCTCCCTACTGCCTCGTCACAGGGAATCCTAAGATGCCATATGCCAGAGTTCTTTGACAGACGTGACACATACCTGATAAAAATTTAGAGAAATTTGTTCCCCATTGGTTGACTTCCAAATTTGAGGAGCTAAACCTATAAACAGAAAAGTAGGTAATTATAATGGAGTTAATGTGTGCAGGTATAATGCAGACACACACACACACACACACACACTCAATTCCTCAGACAGATATGAAAAAAAATCAGAGAAGGGTGTGATTTTTGTTTCCATTTCATTTTATTTCTCACCTACGCTAGTTTTCTAGACATTTGAAATAATAAACCAGCCAGATGAAGATTTTAAGCTGCTCACTGTTAGATGCTTGAAAGCTAGATTAATTAGTGTCATTGTCCTGTGACACTTTTCATCCCATCCGGTCACCTGGTCATCTAGTGGGACCGCCCCCTCCCAGTTTCCCTGCCCAGCAGCCCACAGACCTCACCTGCTGGGTGATGCTCAGACTACAGTTAGGGACCGATGTTGGCTAACCTGGGTGCAAAACTACGGGTTGCCACCGTTTCATGCCTTCTCTTGGTACTTGCAGAGGACATTGCCACCCTCCGACTTCCCTTCCTCTGGTGTCGGGTTTCCTTTAGCGGGTGATCCTGAGTGCTCACTAGTTACCGTATGGAGTGGGGTTTCATGATGCGGTCCAGGTAGCAGGTCCTGAAAATGTTTCAATCTGTACTTCAAAGAAAAAGGGAAAAGACGAAACTGTATAAGTAAATTTGCTGAAATCAGTCATTTCTATACCAAAAACTTTTGTTTTTTTTTAAATAAGGATGTTTTGTAGATAGTGTAGAGCACATTCATTTTAAGAGATATCGAGTAAAATAATTTTTTAAGGCCTCACATATGACCCAGTTTCCCTGGGGCCGAGTGGCGCCTGGCATCTCGGGAGCCAGCAGCCAGTCGGCTCATCGCTAACAAGCAGCCGGGGTTGAGGATGGGGACAGGCGGGTGGGGGGCTGCCCTGGGACGGGGCCGCCAGCTTACTGGGGAACAAACCAGGATCAGAGCCCAAGTGTTTGCACAGAAATGCAACAGGATGCCGAGTATTTTCCTTGGATTCCACAGATAAATGAAATCAGCTAAGCATCTTCACCACAAGCTGGCTGTTTTATTTTGCCTCAGATTTGTAAATAAATGGTTGCAGTCATTCTGCTTCTAGCTTTGAAAAGGACAGTCTGGTTTCCTCTCTCTACAAATGTTTCTTTAACTGGCTGTCAGTTCTCCATGGAAGTTCCTGGCACGGGGCCGTCCCTGCCCTGTGTCTCCCCTGACCCAAGCCTTCTGAGCTCTACTCCGCTCCCGCAGGGGACAAGCTTGTGGGTGGACACAAATAAACAGTGACTAGGTGTCCTGTCACGGAGCCTGCAGGCTGTGGTTTCAAGGACACAAGATTTATGGGTGCTTCTGGCCACACGGAGGCCGTGCAGGCAGAAGGGGAGGTGAGCTGCTAGGAGGAGGTCTGAGGTCCCTGGGCGCTTGATGTCCCCGGGGGGACAACTCGATGAGCTGAGCCCAGGACACGGGAGGTTGCGTGGCCACAAGCCTGGTCTGCGGGCAGGACCCAGATCTCCGCGGTCGTCACCGTGGCCCGAGGGAGCGACTGTGGGGGAGCTGAGCGCTGCTCTGTGCTTTGCAGTGAGCCCGGCGGTTTGGGGGGTGCCTCCCTTTCACCGCCAGCCCTGTTGTTCCTTTTCGAGGCCTGGTCCATTTCACGGTGGTGAAATTTGGATTTCATGGTACTTATGTCATTTCTCATATAATGAAAATTCACTTCTTAATAATGTGCTAAATTTTCATTCTGATTTCTTCTCACTTTTACAAACACTGTACCGGGGTGAGCAAGCCTGGGGCTCTCGTGTCCCCATGAGGAAGGATATCCTCTCAGGATACAGATAGTGAGCGAAGGCCGAGGCCCTTTCACCTCTCTGTCCTCGGTCTGGTCGGCCTTCGACCCCGCCCGACCCTGGACACGCAGGGACTGTCTTCCCGGAGTGCGCGTCGCTGTGGGTGCTACCCCATCCCCGTGTATCCACGCACTTATTTGGAAATGGCACTGCTGTTGCTATTTCATGAGTGGTTGTCCTGAAAATCAGGAACCACACTTCTCACCGTGCGAGGTCACCCTCCATCTCCATCTCCAGTCAAGCCAGGTGAGGACCTCGGCCCCGAGAACCGGGATCTGACGGATCTGGGAAGATTGCTCACCCCCGGACCCCAGACCTCCGCCTGGGTCCCAACAAGTGTTCACTCCGAGCGGGCTTTCCCATCAGCAAGTCGACTTCGTGTGTGCACAAAGCACGGGGCGGAAATCACCTGGAGGCTGGTCTCAGGATGCAGCAGCTCTGCCTCTCTGAGCCTAAACCGTTTTTCTCTTTCCTTTACTTAAGTGAAGTTCAGTGTCTTTGCAAATAGATATGAAAAGTATTCTTTTGTTGGACTAAAGTAGCTCTCAACTGCGAAATATAATCCTTAGCAGAAAGATCTGTGCGCTTCACAGTCTGTAATTTATACCACGTTAGAAACATGCTATAGCAGGATTGATTTAATATTTCTTGGTTTAGAAGTCGATTAAATTTAACTGCTTGTTGTGTTAAAGCCTTCTAAAGCTTTCAGGTGCTGTTAGTCTTGTGTTTCCTGATGCAAATACATCACTTTCTAATTAAAAATCTTGTGTTGCTTTACCTCCTTTGGGGGGATATGATAAAATTAGCAGCAAAAAAATAACCGGGGTGCGTCCCCACTGAAGTCATACTCACCGCACAGAGCACAGGCATAATGCTTTCTTACAGCTGTTCAGCCCTGAGCAGTTTCTCATCAGCTCAGCCTTTTCCCAGACAGCTGAGTGTTTCCTACCTGCACCACATCCCTCCCGGGGTATCTTGACGCCAGCCGGGGTGTGGGACTTCACGGGGGCAGCTGGGACCGGGGAGGGTTATGCACACCCCCCTGACACATCCCTGCCTGCCTGCTTGCTGTTCTCTGTTCCTCTTGGTGGTCAGGCGAGCTGCTCTCAGCGTTCATTACTGTGACAAAGGGCAAAGGGTGCTGCCCTGTCTCAGAGCTGGCACTGACAGGGCTGCAGGAAGTCCCCGAGGTCCCCAACGGTCCCAGACACGCCTGCAGCCTCAAGTCTGCCATTGCCTCCCCAGGGAATAGTTAATGAGATAATTATTTTTTTCTTGAAAAGTAACATTCTTGCAATGGTCCTGGGGGTTTCCCTATAGATTATAATCTACCTTTCCAGTTGCCTTCAAAGGGAAAAGGGGAATAACACAGCTCTATTTTCGCCCTTCCCCGACCCTTAGGGATTCGCATCTGTTTTCTGATATGTGTATTTAACGAAGTGGAAACTAGTGTAAATGGATTCCTGCTCTAGGCAATTAACATGTGCTTGAATAATAATAACAAAAACTTGTGTCAAAAGGAAATTTATGAAACCCAGAGTTCTCTAACTGTATAAACACGTTGGTCTTTGAACGACTTGGCCATCGTAACACAGCGCCACCATCCGAGCCACATGGAATGTTCCTCCTGCTTCCCAGACTCCAGGAAAGACATGCCAAGCTGCATCTCTTTATCCCGAAATGGCGAGGAGGGTGGAGGGGAGTTTAGGGATAGTTAACTTGTAGGTAAAGTATGTTGTAGAATGTTAAGCTTCCAGTAAACTCAATTACAGAATTACTCGAAGGCCCTCCGCTGCCTTCGGACTCAGGCTCCCTTGACGGGACTCTGGGGCCGTGTCTTCTCCAGCCATGTGAGCTTGGGGTGTTTCCCAGCATCCGGGGCCTCCTACGTAATGTGGGGCAGTGATGCTACCTACTGGGATTGTAGCTTTGGGACCAATGAGATGATAATGCCTGGGAATCTCTTAGTCTCACATAGTAATAATTCAATAAATCTTAGAGATTGTGATTCACAGAAACCGTTTTAAAATCAACATATATGTTGATTTTACAAGTGTGCTTACAAGTGTTCAAATGAGCTCACTGATACAGGGCGCCCGACACACTGATAGTTTATTTAATTTTTATTTTATATTGGAGTATATAGTTGATTTACAGTGTTGTGTTAGTTTCAGGTGTACAGCAAAGTGATTCAGTTATACATATACATATATCTATTATTTCTCAGATTCTTTTCTCATATAGGTTATTACAGAATTTTGAGGGCAGTTCCCTGTGCTCTGCAGTAGATCCTTGTTGATTACCTATGTTATATTTAGTAGTGTGTATGTGTTAATCCCAAACTCTTAATTTATTCCCCCCGCCCCACCTTTCCCCTTTGGTAATCCTAAGTCTGTTCTCTATGTCTATGAGTCTGTCCCTGTTTCATAGATGAGTCCATTTGTGTCATATTTTAGATTCCATATATAAGTGCTGTCACTTATGATATTTGTCTTTCTCTGTCTGACTTCAGTTAGTATGATAGTCTCTGGGTCCATCCATGTTGCTGCAGGTGGCATGATTTCATTCTTCTTTATGGCCGAGTATATTCATTGTACACACATACCACATCTTCTTTACCTGTTCATCTGTCAGTGGACATCTAGGTTGCTTCCATGTCCCGGCTATTGTAAACAGTGCTGCAGTGAACATTGGGGTGCATGTCTCTTTTTGAATTATGGTTTTCTCAGGGTATATGCTCAGGAGCAACACACTGGTTTCTGAATCCCACATAAGCCTTTCTTCCCATTACAGAGAAAAATCTGTTGTATTCTTTGAGTTCTGGGAAATATGAAAAGATGTCCATACTTGATTTTTTTCAGGCTGTCCTGGTGCCAAAAAGAACGAGTTTCTGACGAGTGTGCTGGACGCGCTGTCCACAGACATGGTCCATGCTGTCTCCGACCCCTCCTCCCCGGGCAGGTGCGTGCACTCGACTGCAGAGCAGGAGGCTGGGAAGAAGCCTGGCATTCAGGGAACTCTCAGAAGCTGGAGGGCAGAGCCCAGACACTGCATCTGAGGTCTGATCAGCTTAGCGGGCATGGCAGGGCCTGCAGGAAAGAAGTCCCCTCCCCAAACCTGAGGTCACTTCCTTTGTCTGGAGGACATTTGTTTAGCAGGTTCACTTGTAATGCGATCAACCCAGGGAGGATGTTGCCATCAGGGACAAGGCCCAGACCTTGGGATTGTCCCAGGTCCCATCAGGCAGGCGTGGGGGTGGGGGCAGGGGGAGGGGAGGGGATGGGAGGACCCTGGTCCAGAGGGCTTCCCGCTTTGGAATCTCATTTTAGAGCTATTGACTGGATTTTGAATACTTTGAATTAAAATGTTCAAATTAAAATTCTCAAAGTAGGATTTCTTTACAGTAAAATATATATGACATAAAATTTACCATCACAACCATTTTCAAGGCTGCAATTCAGTGGCATTAATTACATTAACAAAATTTCAAAATCTGACTTCTGAAACCCTGGAAACTTGCTCTGTGTGCCTGGTGGAAATTCTGCAGTTCTGGGGCTGAGGCTTTGAGCTTTGCTTCCGGAGAGACTGTTAATTCCCCGAAGCCGTTCGTCTCTTCCCTGCCTGCCCCAAACCTTGATGATTTCATCTATTCTAGATGATCTAAAGCTTCCTGGTCTTCTTAACTCAAAGCCCGCCTCTCTCTGTCTCTCTTTAAGAGTAAGATGGCAGAAGAAAAAAAGGCAGTGCTAATGAATCCAGTAGTAAATTAAATGATGAGGCAAAAAAAGATCACCCAATTTTCAAATTGACCTCTTATATTCTTGGAAAGATAGATCTTCTCTGTAAAACTAAAATTGAAAGCAGTAAATGAATTTCCACCCTAGAAGGTCCTCTGAAAGTTTGGGAGATAACTAATAGCATCAGAAAGCCCTAATACCTGGGAACTTTTGGTGTCTGACTCACTCTTTACACCCATGGAAACGCAGAGACCAACAGCCAGACAAGGAAGGAAGGACCAGGGATTAGGTGAGCCCCTGCTGCACCTTCCACGTGGTGAGAAGGCCCAGTGTAACATCTGGGATGGGCTCCAAGGTCAGCCTCGAGGCCAGACCTTCTGGAAGAGTTTTTCACTTATATCTTAAAGTATCAACCTTTTGGGTTTTTTTTAATCCAGGGAAAGATGTCTGGTTACCACTTTAAGATATATGTGGTTTTGTACCTTTTAGTTTACCCGTGGCATAAACAACCTGCCCATGAGTCAGAATTAAAGGAGCAGAGACCCTCCGGGTCCCAGGTTGAGTAGGTGCGCGATGCGTGAGCCGATGGGCCATCCCCACGGGGCTTTGTCCGCATGGTTTGCCAACGCCCAGCGCGTGACTGGCCTCCACAAGTTCACTGTGCCACTTGCGACTTTGAAACCAACTTGAAAATTTTTTGCCAAATTTCTATTTCTAAGTTATTTTTAAAAATCATCATATCAAATGGCAAAGCCACGCAGCCTTAGGCCTTCCCTCCTTCCAGGAAAGTCAGAGCATGGGGGCCCTTGCTGGAGGGACCAGGGCCGGGGTGGGGAGGCAGCCAGGCTGCCGGGGGCCCCTGACCACCCGTGTGTCTTCCAGGCTCTCGGAACCTGACCCCAGCCACACGCTGGAGGAGAGAGTGGTCCACTGGTATTTCAAACTGCTGGATAAAAACTCCAGTGGGGACATCGGCAAAAAGGAAATCAAGCCCTTCAAGAGATTCCTTCGGAAGAAATCCAAACCCAAAAAATGCGTGAAGAGGTTTGTTGAATACTGTGATGTGAGTAACGACAAGTCCATTTCCCTGCAAGAGCTGATGGGCTGCCTGGGCGTGACCAGGGAAGAAAGTGAAACTAACACGAGGAAGCGGCACAGTAAGAGCCTTTCTCCTTATTTTTTTTTTTTTGCGGCACGCGGGCCTCTCACCGCTGTGGCCCCTCCCACCGCGGAGCACAGGCTCCGGACGCGCAGGCCCAGCAGCCACGGCTCACGGACCCAGGCGCTCCGCGGCATGCGGGATCCTCCCGGACCGGGGCACGAACCCGCGTCCCCTGCATGGGCAGGCGGACTCCCAACCACTGCGCCACCAGGGAAGCCCTTTCCTTATTTTGCTCCCGCGCGTGTCCACTCTCGACGGCGTCTGTTGAGTCTGAAGACGTAGAGACTGTCCTTGCAGTCTGAGGCTGGAGGGAAGTCTGATGTGCCATATGACTGTAGGTCACCCGTCCTTGGAAGCACTCACAGACTGCCGTAAGCGGTCAAGGGGAAGCCAGGTGGGAAAGGTGGGAGCTGAGCGGTGTCCGTCCAGGGGGCGCGGGCTAGGGGGTGCCCTTCTCCAGGGGCGCCTTCTGATGCTGAACAGCAAACTGGGCGCCCTTGGGAGTAACTCTGGAACTCCACGCATGAGCCCGACCAAGCATTCAGCCTGGTTTATTAGCAGTTCAATAATTCCCGTTTCCAAACCAGTCATTTCAATGGTTGAAACAGTGTTTCAGCTGCGTTACCAGATGTGTGTATCTCTTCCCTGAACCCAAACGCTGTCAGCAGCCCAGGGGCCGTGTGCGGACTTGATGGTTTGCAGAGACCTCTCCCATCTCTGCTAATTTATGATTCTGTTATTCTGTTACCAAACTTGCAGCATATTTGAAACATGAAACAAGTTTGAGAGTAGATTCCGGAGCATCGGTAGATGGTGGCCTTCATGCTTCCTCGTAGTTGCAGCTCAGCTGGGACGCGGAAGTCCTGGCCGCTGACCTCGACTGTGGGCTTCGGGAAAGGACTGCATCTGTCTTATCAGTTTCTGTGTCCCGAGCACTCGTCATAATAGTCATTCCGCGTGATTCAGCCGAACTTGGTTCCAGGCTAGATCCCTGTAATTGTGAAAGGACTCCTGCTAATTTTCCTGTGAGAAGTTACTCCTGGAAGAGTTGAGTTTTATTCTGAAGACCCTCCGTATGGGGCCTCGGAAGCTAAGTGCACCTCACGTTGCCCCGAACATGCCCAGACTGCAAACGGTGGTAAAAATACACGGCCGCCCACTTTGCTGACCTTGTGGGGTGATGATGACGTTTCCCGGCAGGATGTGGGTCCTTGCTGCCCTCTGATGGGGGTCAGCCTCAGAAGGCTCTGGTCGTGGAAACATTGTGTGCAGCATTCGCCAGGCTGCTGTGTGTCTGCAGGCCGGGGTGGAGGGGGGAGCTGGGTGGGTCAGGGGGTGACCGGCCCCCATCACCATCCTGCCTCACAGTCCCCGTGGCTCCTTCTTTTCTCCCAGCCAGGCCGGGGATGGGGGTGAGCCTGCCCTCATTCTCACTTGCAGATGAGAAACCCAAGAGCGCCGTGCGGCTTCCAAGCCCTACAGCCACCCGAGGCGTGCGGCGGGTCCACCCTGAACAGTGGCCCAAGCGCACGGGTCCGCCCGCAGGAATCCGGCGCCTGCTGGGCTGCAGCTTCTGTCGGGGTTTCCTCAACCGCGCGCAGCCCTGCCCTGCAGCCCCCAGGGGGGCCTTGGACGTTTCCAGTCCAGGCAGTCGCCCCCACCCTTGCTCTCCTTTGTTGGGGCTTAGGATCTCTATCTGCTGCTGTCTGACGCTGCCTGTGATTCTTGGACCTGGACAGACGTTCTCACTCACCATATGCTTTCTTTTCCGATTTTGGTCCCCCATAGGGTCCCAAGAGACAAGTGACCTATTGCAGTTTTAGGCAGAAATCCTGGCAGCCAGGTGTCTCGGAGGCCCAGGGGATCACATGGGAGCCGTGGGGGAGCCAGTGGCCGGCTAGCTGGAGGCCGGGGGACTGTAGCTCCCCCCACCCTGGGGCTCTGATGATTGCCGGGGAGGGGGATGGCTGCTGACCCAGTGACTCGTTTCAGCTGTTGCCAGGTTGGCTTGGGGCCGCGGTGGCCCTTCCTCTGTTCCAGAACCCAGCCTTGAACTTCTGAAAGAGTCCAGTTTTGTGGTTTCAATGAGCAAATTAAGTGCAGGCTCAACAGTGTGTAGAATCTGCCCTTTTAATCTTTAATCGTCACCCCTTTCTGAGGGGCCCAGGCCAGCCCATTGTTTGCAAGGACCCCCCTCTTGGTGAGCACCCAGACCCCTGAGCCTCGTCTGCGTGCCTGAGGGACGTCCCTCGCCAGGGGCACGGTCTTTTCTGCATGCTTCCTAAACACAAAGGAAGTCAGCAAATGGAGATGCTTGGCAGGGAGAGTGGGCGGGGGGGAGGGGCCCAGTGCACGGCGGCTTTGCCAGGAGCATAACTGGCCTCAGAGCGGCGGCGAGTGTGAGGCATTTTGAGATGGAACGGGATCCCTCCACTAGTTTCAAGATGAATTCTGAGCAGCGGAGAAATTACTCTCCTGGATACCACCGCCTAACCCAGCCCTTCGGTTCTACAGAGAAGGCCACATTGTCCACCCACCCCCACTCTTCGTGGCTCAGTCCACAGTGTGGATGGGTCATTTCCAGAAGCGTTAACCACGAGTGGGTGTGTTGTTTAAACACCAGCACTTGGTGTGAATTGGTGCCACATAGCCTGTGTTGAGCCCGCGGGTTCCAGGGCATCAGGAACCACTGCGCTCGTGGGTGAGTCCTGAGCTTCTGCGGAAGGTACAGATCGTGCTGAGAAGGGTGTGCAAATCCCAGCCCTCGGTCACGTACAGGACTCTGACTTTGTGGCTAACGAAGTGCTTAGTTCTCTTAGTCATTCAATCGCTCAACACAGACGTCGAGGATCTGCCGTGAATCACGGGGCGGAGGTGGGAGCTGAGTCTCAGTCCCCAGTTTGTAGGGAAGATAGAAAAGCCCTAGAACGGCCCGCGCGTAAGGCGTGGGTGTGAGTAGGCTGCTGCCCGGGTCCTGAGGAGGCAGCTACCAGCTCGAGGACTCGGGAAAGCGTCACTGGGCCAAAAGGATGGACGGGACGGCCCAGCCCCTGTGCCAAGCACTGGGACACTGGTGCCTCCCCTGGAGCATCTCTGACACAAAGCCTCAACACTGCCCGGTCAGAGCCCGAGGCATGAGGTGCGTGACACCCGAGGACAGCCTTGTCGGAGAGCCCAGGGACCGTGAGAAGGGGCTCCTGGTCAGGCGTCTGCCAGCCAAGGGTGCCCTCACGGGAGAGACGGGATCGGAAGCTGGTCTTCCTGGAAACGCTGAAGGTCGGTCGGTCTTGCTCTGCTCTGGGGACACCACGGCAGCTCTCACCCCGCACGCTGAGGCCTCAGGAAGCTGACGTGAATCCAGCACCTTCAGGGTCACGATCCTGGACACCTACCCTTGGTTGTAAACAAAACTGTCTGAAAACCCCAGCTCCCTGTCAGCACCAGCGTTGGACCTCTGAGTTGGCTCAAGGGCCTTAGCCGATCACATGCCCCGTTGTTTTATAATCTGGTTAAATAATGGAAAACTTGAGGTGTGGCCAGTCCAACAGATCAGGAGCCAGTGCTGTGGAGAAGACGGTGCCCACAGAGGAAGTGCACTCCCCCGGCCCGGCTGCCCTCGGGCTGCAGGATGCTGCCCTCTGCCCCTGGCAGGGGGCGGAGCGGGGGCATCCCCACACCTCTCCTCGGGGCCGGGGCTGCATTCTCACAGAGGACAGAACGCACAAGGGGAACAGAGAACAGGTTCGCGGGCAGAGCGGATGCGCAGAAGGGGTGCAGGCCACGTCCTCTTGCCGAGAGGGGTCCAGGGTCTCCGCACAGCCCTACAAGGGGACATGGAGAGGGTGGCTGTGTAACCCTGCTATCAGGGGAGCGAATAACAGAGCATAACACCTTGATGTCATCATCATTTATTAGAAATGTTTAAATTACTGCAGAATCTTGAGTTATCAGTTATCTTCTTTATGTGCCTCTGACTAAACCGATGTGTCTGAATTTTATTGTCTCGTTAGTAACCAGGAAGATAGCACGTATAATCCCCTCTCTTCCCCCAGATAAGCTAAATTTGGTAAAAGTGACAATTTGGTCAAAAATGAGCATTGGGGATTTAGATACATTATTAGCTGATTTGCAACCTTTTTTTTTTTTATCTTGCAGAATTTCTCTAAGAGTTTTTCAACTTTTATCTTTTTTCAACTTTATTATCATTTATTTTTTACTACCCTGTGTAATTTGAAATAGTGAAAAGTCAGAAAAACCTAAATATTCAGGAAGGGGTTAGTTGGGACAGTCTAAATATCCAATTGGCTACCAGTTTCTTTTGTTTTCTTTATTTTTGCTCACTAGTTAACAATACATTTTTTATTCTAAAAAATATGAGAAATTAAATAAAGGACATAAATAACACATGACCTTTTATCTGAGGCAAAATCAGACCAGATCTATAGCTTTCCAAAAAATATTTCTATGCACATATACATACGTATTTATGGACTATGATTTTCACTACAAAATGGTGTCATAATATACATACTTCATTAACCACACTTATTTTAAGCAAGTATACAGGATTTTGCATTTAAATTTTTGCAACTAAGACGTATTATTGGGAGCTTGATCTCAATTTTCACCATTACAAAAAATGCAAAAATGAAAAAGACCCCTGAAAACTATTGAGAACTGATAGAGCCTAGAAAAAATAACTTCTGAAGAATTCAGAAAAAAAGTTCACAAAAGATGATACCATGCCCTCATGATTCTCCAAAATGACCGTTGTGCAGAAAATCAGCAATTAGGAAATATTCATTTTTGACCAAATTATCTTTTTCAGCCAGACTGCCATGCCAGCTACATTCTCTCTGGCATATTGCCTTACAGCCAAATTGCCATTTGCCGTGTCACCTGGAAACAGTCACTATCATTTGATACCGATGAAGCCACCCTTCCCGCCACACACACACACACACACACACACACACACATCCATCGCTGAGCTCTGCGGTAGGAGCTGGGAAATACGTACTCATTTTCTCACCGAAAAGTATTTTTATTGATGTGGCATGTCTCCATATTTATTTTGATGATGTACATTCTGTTTCATTCAAATTAATTAACAGTTTATTATTTTTCTGCCCTTCATGTTTTTTTTTTTTTTTTTTTTTTGCGATACGCGGGCCTCTCACTGTTGTGGCGTCTCCCGTTGCGGAGCACAGGCTCCGGACGCGCAGGCTCAGCGGCCATGGCTCACGGGCTCAGCCGCTCCGCGGCATGTGGGATCTTCCCGGACCGGGGCACGAACCCCTGTCCCCTGCATCAGCAGGCGGACTCTCAACCACTGCGCCACCAGGAAAGCCCCCTTCATGTATTTTAAATGGAGCTTTTCCCTACTCCTTCTTGAGTGGAGTATTCCATCCAGTGTCATTAATGAAATTTATATTCTTTTCACCTACATAGTAAAGTTCTAAACACCAAAAAACGTTAACTTTTCCTGCTGTAACCTAACTTTAATCTGTAGCTACCTCCAATGACCAGTAGTCTGATATTTGCCATAAAAGAAACCAAGAAAAATCTGGCAATTGTTTATAGTGCAATTGGTTTAGATTAGATTCAAAGTATCAGTTTAAAATTCTTTAAATTTGAACCAATGGCGCGAAAGCCTACTTTCTCTGTAAAGTAGTCATTTCAGGCAAAGCAAAGTGGAGAGTGGCAACAGAAATTATCCCGATCCTCGGATCATTCAAACTACAATGGAAAGAGATAGTCCATTTAGCTACCATTTATTTAATATTTTTGCAATTTACTTAATATGCTTGTGTTTCAAATTTTCATGCTCTATTTCTGTTTGCTTGAATATAGCAAGAGAAGGTTGAACACAATAATTTTGCTCTTTGTTTTTTTAATTGAATGGATAGACGTCAACAATTAAGGCATTTGGGATGAGGGATGCTGCCCTCCGTCTACTGACTCATTCGAAAGATATTTACAGGTGCTCCCTGCTCTAAACATTGGCAAAATCACAGTAAATAAAACAGACAAGAGTTCACATCCTTCTAGAGCTTACGTTTTAGTGTGGATGCAAGAAATGAGATAAATAAGAAAAATCCACTGTGTGATGGGTGATGCTAGCTAAGGCAGTGATGGGGGGAGGGGAGGGGGAGGGCTGGAATTTCAGGTGGAGATTTGAGGCAGGAAAAGTGCCTCCACAGGTGATGTCCCAGGTCCCAGTCTTGAAGGAGGCACAGACGGAACCAAGCAGGATTTGGGAACAGTTATTTTGATCCAAACAAGTTAAATGATTCTCGTGATTTAACTATAAAACCAAAAGATTTCAAAGACCCGGTGCTGGTTCCTAGACTTCCAGCTGCCTGGGTCCTCTCTGCCTGGGAGAGTTTGAAAACTTGGGGAAGGAGGTCTCCACGGCTATTGGACACGCCTTTGGAGTTTTGGGTAAAATGGAACTGTCTTCTAAAGTTGGGCCAGAGCATTTGTATTGTTGGGAATTGTTTACGTCGTGACGTTTATGATACACTATTTATAATCTATGCTCAGCGTATGTGCAGATGCATATTTTCTCATGTAAACAAGTCTGCCAGTGGACGACACTTTCCTACAGTGATATGGATTTCTTCCTGAAACATTCGATTTAAGCTTTTACTAAATAAAGAATATTTGGTTTTTAATCTTTCTTTTTTTTCCCCTGTTAGCCCCTAGAGGTAATGCTGAAAGCACTTCTAATAGGCAGGTGAGTATGTGTACATTGTAGCCTTAATCATTTACTGTTTTAGTTACAGGCAATCAAAATTGAGGTTCTGTCAACTTGTAAAGTGAAGTTCCTTCCAAGAAAAGAAGCAACTTACCATGTCTACACCCCTGTGAGGCCCCAAATAGCCATGCAAGATTCTGTCAGAAATTACCAACTTGCTGAAACATCAGCGTCAACATTTTGCCCTAATTATTATTTTCTTGCTACTTGAAATTTCAATTATTTTATTATTTTTAGAAAAATGTCTGAGTCCCCTTATTTTTGGAAATATTTATTTTTAAATAGTTCTCCAGGATGTGGATTTGTAATTTATTCCTTACGTTTGGTTAAGGAGGTTGCAGGAACGGGGAGTCTTCTTTTTTCATCTAGGGATCCGAGTGAGACAAGTGGCAGCTCCAAAAGGGATTTTTCACTTCCTGCCATGTGTGCTCATAAACATACTTCTATGCTTCTGAATCTGTATTTCTGCCTGTGCAATTAAAGGAGATAGTTGTGGTGTCTCTCCCCAGCATCCCAGGCCACAAGCTCTCCAAAGTCTTCCTGGACCGGGGCACGAACCCGTGTCCCCTAGCATCGGCAGGCGGACTCCCAACCACTGTGCCACCAGGGAAGCCCCTACATCCTCCTTTCTTAAGACCACTTGTCAATTTGTTATGTATTTTGTCTTCACCTGCTTGATTCCAGGTCTCTGGTCCCTAAGGCAGGCCCCCGTATTTTTGGTGGGCTTGAAGTGGAGACCTTCCACACGCACCTTGGATGCAATTTAAAACCATTTCATTAGGAAAGATGTGTGATACGGTCGGTCTTCTTTGTTTAGCAAGTGTTTATGGTTTCAACTTTTAAAATCTCACTGCAAATCCCTTGTGCTTTAGAACAGGGCTGGTCTGAAAGCAATGACCCGGGCTGAGCTCCGAAGACTTCCAAACGGTTGTTTTCCTAAGATAACGCCAATGATGGGCACATGGGTGCTGCCTCAGCCTGAAATAAACTCTGTTCCAAACACAAGACTCACTCAGCTTTTTCCCAGAAAAGGAATCCAGAGCTGTTTCCCCAGCTCTTTTTATGGTGTTTATCACTGCAAACTGTGATCCTGGGATGATGTCCTGCAGTGGCTGGCACATGATAAAGTGACTGAAGACCATACAGATTTCTTTGAAGAATCAGAGTCCCAACCACCAAAATCTTTCACTATATGAATAACCAAACCCAAGAACTATGAAATGAAGGGCAGCAAGTAGGATGCGTGAAGCTTATATTTAATTGAAAAGTGAGCTAGCTGTCTTTCTTGGTATCCTCTCCAGTTTCCATCACAGTTCAGCAGTGATCAGAACAGTGCTATCAGCCACTGCTGACGTAGCTTAAAACGTTAGTGCTGCCCCTCCTCCAGCAAGTCTGACCAGCTTTAGTTGCTGGTAAAATACATTGATGGCTTATCTTTATCGTCAGCTAATTAAAACAAAACTTCTCATTCACTTAAAGCAGGAGATATAGTCTCTCTTCTTGTTCCCTGTTCATATATTTATCTGGGGAATGAAAGCCAACACAGACGCCTCCTGAATGTTCAAGTGTAATTATTTTAAATAGACCAACTTGTACTGGTCGGAATGGGTCTACGTGGAGAAATAAACCTGGAAGATTGTACTTTGCTTCTCCTTTTCATTCTATATTATTTTTAATTGGCACAGTGCAGAATTCCAGTAATTTAGTAAACAAAACTTTTCAGGTTGTATTTCTTAGAGAGGTCAAATAGTGAATGGAAAGGATGAAAAGAAAACTGTTAAAAAAAAAACATGCCTTTATCAAATTTGAAGCATAAATTAGCATTAAAAGTATTTTTATATGATAAATCCATGGTGACTGGAGATTCTGCGCAATGTTTAAAATATTGAACACACTTACAATCCTTGAAATAAATGCTTTCACAACTGATATATTTTTCCTGATATTCCTGATCAGGAAGGAGGAAAGTGGGAGGAAAGTGCTAGAAGTTGAGAAGTGTCCACAATGTTTTTAGTATTTTTTAAAATTCTTACGCCCCAAATAAAGCACTCTTTCTTTTCACATCTATTTAAAAATATTGCTTTTTTCCCCTTGTTGTTACCAGCTGGGTTTATTTTATTCCTAAAAGGCAAGTCTTCATCTTCAGAGATGAGTGATGCAAATGTCTAAATACATCTCTTTTCTGTCTTTTTTTCAGCCAAGGAAGCAAGGATAAACGACTGACACATCCACGGCGGGTCCTAGACACGTGGCGACTCCCTCACCAAAAAGCAATTAAAAAAACCAAAACAAACACATTGTATTGCACTTTGTACTTTAACTGTAAATTCACTTTGTAGAAATGAGATATTTAAACAGATGGCTTTAATCTGTGAAAATGGAAAGGCTGTGGCTTCAGAAAAGTAAATCACATACAATGTATGTGTATTTCTTCGACCTTCAAAATCTGCAGTTGGTGGAGATGTATTTTGAGTGGATTTAAGCTTAATTTCTTCCTCCTACGCATGTTAACCTGGCAGAAGCCTTGGCCTAAGGCGCTCTGGCTCCAGGCCTGTATCTCCTTACCAGGGCCGTTACTAATAGTCTCGCCAGGTTGGCGTCGTTGGAAATCTACTGCCCTGGCAGCATCGCTGAAGCCATGTTGGAAGCTTCATGGCGCCATAGAAGTTTGTAATCAACTGCTGTCTTCGTCATGCAGTTAATGAGTGTATGGGTCTTTTTGTTTCTTGGGATTTCGGGTTAGTTTGTTGGTTTTCCTTCCAGAGTTCTCGCTCACGCAATGAGTTACCCAACCACTAAAGCAATCTTTACAGGTAGTGCCCTGGTAGAAAAGCATGTTTTTCAAGCTCTTTTTGATGTGCCTGCTTTTTCCATTGCAAGCTTCTGTTTGAGTTTTGCCTTGGGCTCGGATTATTCATGCAGTAAATGCTAGAGAATTCTTTCTGCCTTTCTGAGGCAGCATGAAGGGGTCCATCGTTCAGAAAAGTAAATTTCATCATGACCTGACCAAGCCAGCTAAACACGCTTGTCAGTCTGCTTTTTCTCTTACACCTGGCCGCTACCCATCCGACCGTGGCCCACCCAGGGGGCCCCCAGAAGGTAAAACTGTCCCCTGAACAAATTATGAACAGTCCCCTTAAAGAAGGCGCAGCCAGGCCAAGCTGTGCCTGAGTCTCGATCTTGGCAGCCGGAGACAAAGGCCTGTGGGTCCCCCACCTTCCCTTCTTTCCTGGAGGCCTCAAGGGCTCAAGGGTTTGCCGATGGGAAATTCATCCGAATGGGACTTGAGAGGGGCGCGTGGGGAGCTGAATGCCACCCTGTGAGCAGCAGAGCGGGCCCTCAGGGCAGCCGGCTGCCCGTCTCAGAGCTGGACCCCGGCTTCTGCAAAGGTGCCCATGGGCTCCATGAAGCATTTAGGGGACAGCCCCGGAGCTGGGGTGACACGCTGTGATGCTGTCTCGGCTCTAGCTTTTGGTTTGGGAAAAAAATCTTCTCGGTCCCACAGACGCCCCAACACGTGTCAAAGGGTCTTGAATTTGCATGAAGACGTTTCAAGAGGTGCCTCATTTAAACCGTGCAAAAGTCAAAATGGAAACTTTGGAAACACAAAACCAGCTCCAGTGTGTGTCACCATTGTTTAAGAAACAGTTAGGATCCTAAATTTATTGGATGATCTTTTATATTTCTGAACTTTGAATTTAATCATTTTTCTTAGATTAAAATAAAATATGCTATCAAAACCGTACTTGGCCTCTTGCTTCATTCTGAGGGTGTTTACCACTGGGAAGCAAGGCAGGGACCCTGGGCTGGAGTGAAGTGAACCCTGGTTCTGCCCCTCTGGCCATGGGACTTGGGACAAGTTACTTAGCCTTTGGGGGCTTCGGTCTCCTGCTCTATCAACAGGGACGACAGTGGCATGCACCCCTGGGTGAAGGTTACGTGTATCCATGTGTGTAAAGGGTGAGGGCCTGGCACAGAGGGTGCAAGCGTTTGCCCTCGTGATGGGAAGCAGCCGTCCACTCACTAGGTACCAAAGGCTGGGAGGACTTCCCGTCCTGCCGGAAGCTGTGTGGACCATGGAAGAGACAGAAAAGGTTCTTGTTGTGGTTAAAGCTGATGCTGTTCACAAGTCACACCGCCAGAGACCCTGTCAGGCCACGCCTCTTGGTCCCCAGCCCCAGTCTCCAGACCCAGTGTCCGCCCTTGGTTAGACTCTCATTATATCTCACCTGGACCATTGCAGTAGCTGCTGCTTCTCTCAGTTTTGTTGAGTTGTAATTGACATACGCCACTGTGTCAGGGTAAGGTGCACGGCATAATGCTTTGACTTCCATATACTGTGAAACGGTTGTCACAATAAGTTTAGATAACATCCAGCATCTCACATAGAGACAAAAAAAAAGTTGTTTTTTTTTTTCCTGGTGATGAGAACTTTTAGGATCTAGTTTCTTAGTAGTTTTCAAATACACCAAACAGCAGCGTTACCTATGGTAGGTCATGGTATGGTCACCGCAGCAGCTTCTTAGCTGGTCTTGTTTTCTCCAGGACTCTCTATTCCTTCCTGGTAAATCTCCCTGTGCCCCACACTATTTTTTTCTCTACTCAGAAAAGTGTGATCTTTGTAAAAGATCAATAGCATTTCAATTGTTCAGTCAAGATGTTGCTGGAAAGGAATTAAGAGGGAGCGCTCCCGAGGGGGCGGAGGTTGGACTGCTTCTGAAGCAGGCGGGAGAGGGCACGGAGCCCGCGGAGGCAGCGGCCGGCGCGCCGGGGCCGGAGCAGGTGGCTCTTACTGCGAAGTGTTAAGATTTCAAAACCGAAACAGAAATTGTTTCCCTTACGTGCCTGGTGTAGCTGTTTTTAGGGATAGTTGCCTCCCCACCGAACCTCCCCTTGCATCCTTCTCATGTTTAAAAATGCTCTCCTGCCTCCTTGTCAAAAATCTCCAAGTGGAAGATTATTTAGTAGTGCACTGACCAACTCGTAAATCATGCCCGTGAACATCACATCCAGAATTTTTTAGAGTTATCGAGATGAAAGGTGTCAACTTTTGTAATCAACGTGCAGAAATGACCGACATAATCATAAACTGCCAAGTGGACACCGAATCATATAAACAATAGAGCTACTCCAGAGAGAAAGTAAGAATGTAGACAGCGCTAAGCTCAGTGGTCTGTGGTGATGGGGATGGTGGTAGTTGAAATGGCGGTAATCATGACGATGCTGATGATAGTGGTGGTGGTGGTGGTGATGGGGATGATGGTGGTGATGGTGACGATGGTCGTGATGGTGGTGATGATGATGATGGTGATGATGATGGTGGTGGTGATGGTGCTGATGATGGTGATGATGGTGATGATGGTGATGGTGCTGATGATGGTGATGATGGTGATGGTGATGATGGTGATGATGATGGTGATGGTGGTGATGGTGATGACGGTGATGATGATTGGTGGTGGTGATGGTGCTGATGGTGCTGATGATGGTGCTGATGGTGATGATGGTGATGATGGTGATGATGATGGTGATGGTGATGATGATGATGGTGATGATGATGGTGATGATGGTGATGATGATGGTGATGGTGAAGATGGTGATGATGATGGTGATGATGATGGTGATAATGATGGTGATGATGGTGGTGATAATGATGATGATGGTGATGGTGAGTGATGGTGATGGTGATGGTGGTGATGGTGGTGATGATTTTCTCCCTAATACCATATACTACTACATGGGCCAAAATTTGTAAAGATTTTTGACTAATTAGATATTTAGACATTTTTGATATTTCTTCATTCTAAAAAGCTTCATTCTTCATTTACTATAAAGCTGTGAACAAGCCACCCCAATGCTCCATGGCCTAAAACCACCCTTGTATATTCTTGTCACCCTGTGTGTGTTGGCTGGGTTGTCTGTGCTTGGCTGGACGTGCCCCCATGCCTCACACCTGGCCCTGGATGAGTGGGCCTTTGGGGCATGTCTCCGTCGTTGTGGCTAAAGCACAGGGTGATGTGCCCAACTGCATGAGCGCATTTCAAGCTTCAGCTTGTAACCTGTCTGCTCACATCTATGGACCATCATGGGGCTCCGAGCAGGTCATGGGCAGGGAAGCACACACCGCCCACCCAGAGGCCCTGGTAACTCATGGACATAGTCGCTCTTGAGTGTTGGAGATTGTGCCCAGCCGCAGTCAAGCACACAAGTGCATCCTGAAGCTGGGGGCAGCAAAGCTCCACGCGTGGTGGTGCAGATGGAAGGAAGGGGTGCACATCGGCATGCCGCCTCGGACGGAGAGGGAGCAGGAGTCATGCGGGGAAGCGGAGGAGACCGGGCCTCCCACCCATAGAAAGAGGTTTCCACCCCTCCCTCTAAGGGCTGTGCAACCAGCATAGATCATGCCCACAGCCCACTGTATAAACAGGCACTCGACAGTGGCATTGTGGGGTCACACGTGTGTCAGAACAGTTCTGTATCACATGGTTCTGAATCTTCCTCTTCAAAGAGTCCAAAGGACGGGAAAGCTTGAATCCAAAACCCTGAACCCTGCACATCAGGATGAAGACTGCAGGTCTTTCCCTAAA